GGGAGAACGAGGCATGTGGCTGGCTCCCTGCCAGCCTGGCCCCATCTCTCCACGTTGTCAAGTGTTCCTCTTTGGTTCCATTAGTCACCATTTGCTGTTCTCCTGTTTTAACTAATGAGGAGACATTTTGCTTTGACGTTTTCTCACGGGCCAAATGCATCCCTGGCATCATGGAGATGGCGGAGCAGTGCTGGCAGGCTCCAGGCTGGGCGAGCTGAGCAGCCTCCCTGGCTGCTGCTCCTCCCGTTCCTGCCCTGGTGCCTCATCTCCTCACATTCAGTCATGGATGAAGCACAAGAGCTGTCGAGAGCCGTAACTCCTCTCCCTCGTACCTGTCTGTCCAGAGACTGGCAAAGCAAACAGGGAATACTGAGTGCCAAGGGGAAGCTGTTCGGAACGGGAAGTCTTCCCAGAGGAAAAGGACACTCCAGTTGTCCATTGTATTATTTACCCAATCCCCTTTGTGTCATAGAAAAGATTTACTTTGAGCAGATTAACGGCTCAAGGGACTGTGAGAGAAATCCTCCAAGATTGCCTGGTTCAGGGGAGAAGGCGAACGCCTCCCGGCCGAGGCCACACCTCCCGGCTGACCCGCAGGGCTCTGGGCACAGGGAAAGGGCTGCGGGGCTGGGGTCGATCCCTCGGATGGGGACCTCAGGTCCCCTTGCCCAGACCCTGGGGACAGCGGGAGCCTCTCACCAGGACAGCTGCAGGAGAGAAGCAACCAAGCAGACACGTTGGCCTTTCCCTGTGATTTCCCCAGCTTCCCACCTCTGTAGTTCCTGGGCTCAACATCCAAAGCAAAGGCTGTGGAGGCATGGGGAGGAGCAGAGAGCCCTGCCTCGGAAGCAGCTCACACCTGTGTGCCAGCTCGGTAGGTAGGGGCTGCTGGCAGCCCCCCTGCCCCTGGCACAGAGGCCACATTTCCCAGGCACCCTATGACTTGCTTATGCCCTTCTCCAGTTCCAGGTTCCCTGCCTCCACCCTGCAGGGGCACCAAACAGTGCCGCTGGCAGTTTAGCTCTGTTAAGAGCCCGGCCTCCAAATTCCAGCCCAGCACGAGCTGTCCAGTGTGGGCAGCGTGTGGTGCCCTGCCACCACCCAGCCCCCGATGCCAGGGGTGCGAAGGGCCGGGGGGGTGTGGCACACGTGGGTGCCCGCGAGCCGTGCGGAATAATGCTATTAATGCCATCTGGTGCCGAGACAGAGATCCCTGTGCCGGGAGCCAGACACGGCTTTTCACCCCCTTAATCCCCCCCTCGCCCCGCGGGGGCTCTGTCTGCAGGGCTCGCCGGGGGCCAGGGGGTGTGCCCCCTGAAGGGCAACGCCTGCGCCCTCAGCCCTGGCACACGTGGGCACTGGGGAAGATGGAGAGCCTGGCCCTGAAAGGTGTGAGATCCTGCAGGGAGTGGGCTCATGTCACATGCCAGCTGCCTTCCTGGCTGCTGTGCCCTTTAGTCCCTTCTTTAGGGGACAACCACACCGGTGGGGACCAGAGCTCGGAACAGGGGGTGGGCAGGGCCAGCTCTACTCCAGCAAACTCTTCAGCTTGTCTGTGCCATTAAATGGGAGCTTTTCCTCCTCCACCGAGGGACTCTGTCTCCCCGTTGTCCTGTGCAAAGCCACAACGAGTCTTTATTAGTGGGTCAGTGTCAAGTCAAAATTATATTTCAAAATAATCTCCTTACTGTGTTAAATAAGCACCTTAGATTAGACAAATTGCACGGATTTTGTCTAATAACCTTCCCCCGGCTAATCCTATTTTACTGTCAATGTGTGACCTCAATTGAAGCCGAAGCTGTCCAGGGGAGCTGGTTTCTCCTCCACCAGCTGTGCCAGGATGGTTGGGCTTCCAGAACGCTGTGCCATGCACGACTGACTCCCGGGGGCTGCAGACCCTACAGGGGCTTCAGATCCAGAGAGGAAACCCCCTGAGCTGGGTAAGAGCCCTGACTGACCCGTCCTCGCCCTGGGGGCCATGCCCAGGGCTCCTGCGGGCTGGGGGGGGGGGCGGCAA